CATGGCATGGTGGTAACAACATGGCATGGTGGTAACAACATGGCATGGCAAAATCATACCCATGGCAACAGGTACCTCTTTCCCAACCGAGCTGCAGTGGGACACTGTGGCAAAAAGCAGTGCATCAGTTCGTCAATTTGCGTGGCTAGTTACCAGAAAATCGGGAAATCATTTGACACCCTGTGCACAAACCCTATGAGACTGGTTTGAAAAAATATAAAGTACAGTGGAACGTCGCTATACTGAACACTGCTACATCGAAAACATTCAGCTGTACCGAACATCGTCCTTGGCTCCCACTATTTTGTGCACACAACCTACCAAACATTATGTAGTTGCAAATCAACCGAGATTCACCACAGCATGCATAAGAGATCAATCCTGAGCAGTAGCTTAATGACGTTTAAGATAAACTAAGTAGTAACTTTGTGACTCAAGATTTATTAAACAACAAAAATAATTCACACATACATTTCTAGAAACCTCAAATGTGAATGCAACGGCAAAACATCACGAAAACAGCGAATCATAGTATCACAAGAGGGTGCACTTCAGTTAGACAAGAGAGGGCACTGTTCAACATGGCAACGAAACGTTCGGCAGTCAATTTCGCTATACCGAATGACCACTGTACCAACCATTTAGCGTGGACCCCGTAGTTTTGAAAGTGTGCTGGCTCTGAAAAGAGCTGGTTGGTTTGATGATTCAGGCCTGGTTTGCCTACAACAATGGTCCAGTGAGATGCTTGCATTTATGATTTACCCTGGCAAGGAGACTGGACAGCCTCAGCTCGCCCGCATGGTCATGTTTAATAGTAGCACTCCCAGAGCTGAAAACATTCTTCAAAAGCTCCTCAGAGTGGGGGACGACTTGACCCGGGGGCGATTTGACCCAGGGACGACTTGACCAGGGTTTCAATTTTGGGGGACGACTTGACTTGGGTACGACTTGACCCGTTTCCACAGTCACGACTGTCAAAATCACCAGTCCAAAGATCATCAACTTTTCGGGGTCTAATTTTTAATTTATTGACTGTAAACTAGAGGACAAATGTTTGTATAATCGCTGACTAAAATTATTTGACTTTTACCCGCTTGAAGATGACATTTCTAGGGATTTGTTGACGGAGAAACAAGAAAGTCGCTCTCCCAATTGACGCCATCTTGATCTTGTTTCTTTGGACAGGTTTCCAACTTTAACATTTATGGACGTATGCCTCAATATGTAGGCCTATGGCTATTAAAATCACGACTGGCTCCCGACTATTTTTTTATTGAGCTGCTGACATTTTCAAATTGGAGAAGAAATCACAGTGATAGAACATTCGAAATTAAAATCGTAACTTTAATACCCTGAAATGGGAATTGGAATTAATAGTATAGACAATACATGATATTTCATTTTATGGGGCAGCGCGGACAGCCGGGATTCTCGCAAAATGACAAGTACTGCGCCGGTGAAAACAGCGACCTTTGCGACGTACACGTACGGTACGCACGCACCAACCCACCAGCCAATCCGAGGATCGGGTTATGCAATCTTTTCTTTGATCAGTACGTACGCGCGCGCGCGCTCGTTGCAGTTGTTTTCACCGGCGCGGTGTGGTTGCTAACCGTATTTTTGTGAAACTACCAGGTGTCTGCGCTGCCCCATATGTAGAATATACCTTTTCTAGAAAAGGTGTCGTCCGATTACCGAAATAATTTAGTAACGTCAGGTCCGGTACTTAAGTAGGAGACCGCTGTTCGTATTGTGTTTGCTAATTTATTTATTTTTTTTACACAAGAGCGTATCAAGTCAGATAAACGCTGCCTTTCTTAAATTGTTTTGGTTTGTGCACTGGATAAAGCAAAATTTGTTAGAATCTTGTGATGATGATTTGAAATAACAGAATTCCCCTAACAATTTCCACTTAAATTCACAGACTTTAGTTGAGTGGGATTGGTGGACAAGACATTACAATAATGATTCACTCTTTACTGGAAGTAAGTGGTACTGAAATGTGTGGCAATCAACAATTTTTTCACTTTCTCAAATTACAAAAATCGTTTAATTTAATAAGGAGTTTCACCTTTTAACTTGTCCTTAGTTTCAGTGTTTTGTGACTTGATATTAAATCATTTCCTATTGTCAGTTTTAGCATTTCCCTAATATTTTTAAACAACCAGCCTGTTCGTATATATTTCTAATTTATTGTTAAATGAACTTAATTCAGCATTCAATACTGCCATGTCATTTCAATGAAACAAACCAGTATTTCCCAGACACAAAAAACACTCTACATGTCCAATTTACTTGACGCAAAATAATTCTCTACTGTTGTTCAAACTTTCAGAGGAAAGTTTTTACCCAAACTCCTGCAGTTCCCACTAAGTGGTCCAGTAACAACATTGCTTTTCTTCTAGATTTTATTCTCCCATTCTCTACCCCAAGTTTTGGATTGTCTGATTTGAGGTCACGTCATTATGTCACTGCCACTTCTCATGAAATACCATGCCACAAATCCAAAGCTTGTTCACCTCAAAAAATGAAACACAAACCTACAAACCTGCTGCCATAGATAAAGGGCCCATGTAATCATTTACTTTGCAAATTAAGAGCATTTGAAGTCTTCTGATACCCTTTTTACATGCTTGGCAGTGACAGTGTTGAAAAAATCTGCAGCTATAATGCATAAAATGCACTTCCCCTGAAAGTCTGCATGGCGTCTTTAATCCAGGTCTTGTAAATGCTCCTGTGTCCATTAAATTTTGCTGTGCCATTCTAAGGACACTTTTCTAAAAAACCTCGGTGTTATAGCCATATATTTCTGCACTAAATTTTGCAAGAACTTTTGGCATTTCCATTTTGCAGTCATGAATTCTGTTTACTTCAGTGATTGTCCCAGTTCCTGAGAGTGAATTTATGGTTCACAATTTCAACAGGAAAACAATAAAAGTGAACACTGTCCTATATTTAAATGACATAACAGCAAGCCTAATTTGTCATAAAAAGCAGGAAAATGTAGTTGTTTGAAAATGAAAGTGCTCTTTGAGAGTGAAAGAAAAAACAAATGTTGCACAGTTAAGACATTTGAGTAGAAAGTGACGCAAAACATGATCCCAAGGAAAATTGACATTATGGGAAGCTTCGACTTCGTTTTTAAACAAGTAACATCAAAATACACTGTCCAACACATCTATTGCACTGCAAAAACCACAAAAAGAAGACAACATGACCAACATTTTTCATATAAAATAACCTTTATTCTACTGTACAATTTCAATTGTTACTATTGAAATACAAAACTTATTTGTGACTTATACAGCATTCAGCAGGCATACACTGGCCATTTGTCTGCTTTTTCGTATTGCGCTACAAAATTTGAGTCATTATTTTCAAAATATGTATTTCGTTATGGCAAGGGAAAATGCAGAACGCTGTGCCTTTAGTTCTTACTCTGTAAACTTAATGTATCTGCTTCAGTATTTAAAAACTCCCATCATTATGACCTTATTGGCCCCAAGCAGGACCGAGAGAGGGAGCAATTTTCATAGCAATGGAAGCTCCTTTGGTGGGAACTGCGGAGCACTTCACTGGTTCACAAATGACTACATGTATGAAGTGCAAGTGTCACTACCATCAAAATGAACACGCCCCACCAACATGGCTCTTTGGGGGATAATGGCCAGACATATCCAAAGAACACCAGCTCTCTGATAAATACAAGCTTGAAGTTAAAAGCTCTAAAACATAGGAGAATGAACATTATTAAAAGGGCCAAATTCTTGTCCATTAGGATGTTTCACATTGTATCTGTTGCCAAGGCAACATGTATAAATGTACTGCTGATCAATCATAAGACTTGACTCAGGTCTGTCACCAAAATTTACTATTACAGTAACAAATCCACCATACAAACAGCTTTTATCATCCAAAAAGAGTCTGCTCACCCCCTCAAAAAGACTTGAATCACATCTGGTCAAAAGCTCACCAGGTGTGTTCACTATTATCAGCTGTGTCTTCATGTGATTTGGTGACTTCACTTTTTTAGTCACAACTCAGTTATTATACATACAAGACACAACTGATGTCTAACAGTGACAGATTTTTAAAAAAAAATAATAAATAAAACATTTTAACCACTTCATGACGGGGCATTTTTCAATGTTGAGGATGCTGGGCCGGCATAATTACCTTTTTTTTCCGTTTTTCAAAATTTTTCAAAAATTCATCATTTCATTTAACGGACGTTTATACCTGCACGAAGTAGTCTTTAGGCACCACTCTAAGTTGGCAGGTGACCTTCATTGACGCCCGAGTATTTCAGCCAGGCCTGCAGCCTTGTAAAAAGAGCCCAGATTGTGCAGTGTTATGTAACTTTCTTTTGTTCACGAACCTGGCTCAGTGCACTGCTGACCTGTTTTGAATAGGGGCCAGATTAGCATGCAGCGGTGCTGTGTGGCTCATCCCTGCAGTGGTGGAGAGCTTTTGTCCCCAGTGGTAATCCGCTTGCTCTAAATGCCCCAAACCCTGGTATACGGCTTCAAAACGAGGCTGGATTATCACCACTTTTGAGAGTGAAAAATGTTGATAATGCCCAGCAGTCTGGTCTTTTGTTCAGAGTATGGTCTTTTGTTACAGGGCCCTGTTTCCTTAAGCATACGTCTCCGATTCCGGAGTCCCCAGCAGGAAGTGGTTAATATTCTAGTCTAACTGAAGGATACATGTACTTTTTAGCTGCATGTACATCTTTGCTCTACTCGTGCTCACAATGTACCAGCCACTCTCTTGTAAAGACATCGGTTTGTGTACATTCAATTGAAAATTGAGTAGGCAGCAAATCATTGCACACAGGCGATGCACCCTTCAAAGATTCTCCCAAGCAGGCCATCAAGGGCCACTGACATTTTGTGATCCCAGACATGCCCACCAATCTACGCAGACTTACTCCTTTTTTCAACACTCTACCTTTGACGATGACGTGTAGAGGGAAGGAGTGGCTGTGCATTTTAAAGGACCATCGCAAAAAGTCTGCAGTGGAACGCTGTTCCAACAAGGTCCTTGGGACTTCACAAACTACCTTGTTATAACAGTTACCTTGTATTATCAGTCATGGAAAACAAAGACTTGGGACCTCAAATTGTCTTTGTTAGAAATATGGCCTTGTGTTCAACTGTACATGCATTTTAAGATTTTCCTTTAAAGAAATCCCATGCTATGTCTGTCGTACACAAAAGTCTCATTGGTGTATCAGATATCAAACCTTGTTTCCAAGGAGTCAATGTCTGTGACATGCCACACAAGCTGTGGATTGAAATCTGTACATGCTGTGATCAGAAACACTTTTGAGCATTTCATAAACACCTGAAGGCAAAACACACAGTGAAGACAAACTGCTGTTGAAAACATTCTGTTCAAAATTGTGAATGGTGTTAAAATTCTACAACTCAGTCTAGGTATTGAGTCAGTCAGCATGTAGCCATTCTAGTGCAACACAAGGCATTTGATGGTCAGCTAATCGCAAAATGCCACTCTCGGTATGGATGTAAATGCCATGTGGTCCTTTCAGTAGCATTTCTGTGTTTTACCCAAAATGTATTTATGAACATTCTTATCGCTCATGACACAAATTGATAGTAATTAAAAATAGAAATAGCATATTATAAATTCTAAAATTATGAATTTTACAAATTATTATTAATAAATAAAACAAAGTATAGGGGGACTATTCTCAGTAATGATACGTTTTTGTCCTTACTGAATCACCTCGTTAGCCATTCTAGGCAGGGTCAACATACATGTGCACACTAAGTTTGTCAGACCTAAGGGTCATGCATTGGGCATATGGGTCAGAGGCCAAAGTTTCTGTTTCTAAAGAATTTTTGAAAATGCTGCTTGAGTTTCACTGACAAAAGATAAAACTGCACCACATTGTAAGCTCTTTTGCGACGTCTTGTTTGTCACTTCATGACACTGACAACTCCTCATGTTCAAGTTTCATTTATGTACAGTGTACATGGCTCTCAATAAGCATGCTAGATTAGCAGTGCAGTTTTTGTGTTGAGAGAATTACATTATGGAATAAACACCCAAGTCTACAAGAAAAGTGATGTACAATCAAATTTGAAGAACTGCACAACTTTTTGCACAAGTAATTTTTTTTCCTCCACGAATAGGGATTCTGGGCACCAACTGTATGATGGTAACATTCCGTAAAACTATAGACATAGAAATATAAAACAGAATATCATCAACAAAGATATGATGCAACCAATGCACAATCTTTCTAAAATATTTCTGACGGGATTGGGTTTTTTTGAGTAATGTTTGCATGCCTTCTGTCTACTGGTCCGAATTCAGATAGTTGATTGCAAACTTTAAGGAATTCTATTCAAAACTTGTATTCTAAACTAATTGCTTCTCTCACTCTTAAAACATATCGTAGGCTTTTGGCACTGCAATGCTAACTCCCACTTGAATGCTATTCAATTTCGTGAATTACTTTTGTGCACATTAAAATCTCCATATCTTTCATAAATAATCTCAAAGCACTCACCACTGCAGGCCCGGAAACTGTGCCGTGGGTGCAAAATGTATCCAAAATATATATAAACTGTACAAATAATACAAACTTGGTGGTGTCTTGCCGACCTCACCGGAACACGTAGATTGGCACGCTGTGCTCGGTGACATGAGTCAGGTTGAGTGACTGGTACCTAGAAAACATAGCAAGAGACCAGGTGTATGGCAATCTTCATATGAGCATGTTGAACTGTCCCTTCTTGGGGGGGGGTGGGGGGGAAGGTTGGAAGAAAATACACAAAAAATCCAGAAAAGGAGTTCCGATAACAACATCAATTTAAAAAGGTGACTTTTCAGGACTTTCTGTTTTAATGACAAGGTTTGCTCATGTGGCGGACAAGGGACTGGAAAAACAAGAGTTTTCAACCTGAACGATTAAACCGATGAAAATTCAATAGTATGAGGTCAGATAAACTGAAATCTGGTAAAATTCTGAAATACTGCACAGTGCTCCTATGAGCTCATTGTATATGTAGTCCCTGTGATCGTACCTGACCCAAATCTAAGGAAATCTCCTAAGCCTTCTCCGAACAGTGATAATGAAAAGCTCTGATATCATCAAACATCACTGCAGCTGTGTTTATGCATGGGTGCACACATTAGCCCTAGCCTGTCTGAATTAACTGGCTACAACTGGTAATAACACACTGTACATGTGTGTCCATCAGCACTGGCTGCAGCCACAAGGTCACTGGCCCCCATAGGCACTCGGGTTACTTCCAGCCGCGGCAGAGGAAATCGGACTCGGCCCTTCAAAGGTTGGGGGCTTTTTAGATACTCACCATTCAGAGCTTCGGTGGTAATAGTACCCTTCAATTTGTGATGTGGATTTCTGGAAGCAGATGTAGTAGAAGCCGGCAAACGATGCACCGTCGATGTCCTTGATGGTGTGGTCTGGCACCAGGAAGCGTTCCTAGAAGACAGACGAAAAAACATGATTTGTGATTTTAGTTATGTCTTAATTTTTACAAAAAAGACATGGCCATCGCATTGATTTCACTGAAACACAATGTGGAGCATACAAAAAAAAATTGAATAAGAAAAATACCAAAATTTTCCCTATATTTCTACACTTTTCACATCGTGTCAGACTTACATTTTTACAAATGTTTACTAATCCCATCAGGATAGACAACCTCGTTCAACAGTCCATGCCTGACACTGGATGCTGCTGGTCTGAGGGTATGTTCAGAAAAGGTGCCAAATAGTGGTTGATCCGAAAATATTAGGTTACCCCTTGGATTGAAGGCTCTAATCCACCCAAGGTGGCATAAGTGATGCTACCACGTTGGTGCAATTTACTTGGACTCCCAAAAATTGGTGCATTAGCATAAGTTGGGCCAGAGATAATGATCTACCCCACGGCGACGAGCCGTGAAATAACATCAGGACAAAACTGACCTTACATGTACTTCTGGGCATAGTTTATTCAATCTGTCTCGACGCTTCGTGCATGTAACGTATTGGGTGGAGACAAATGCACATCATTTCATATGAACTAAAAATGCTGCTGAATGATTCAAGTTTTTTAAATTGTCTGTGAAAACGTTTTAACTTACACAATGAATAAAATACCATGCAAAATAAGTTGAGTAAAATATCTGCATATGAACGAAATCCGAGTGGAGACATAACTATTTTATACTTACCCGCGGAATGCCTTGTTTCTAAATTACAGTTCTTGATATGAAATCCCCTTTTCGCAAGGATAACTATGCATGCGCTTGTTGCTACCTAGACTGTTTTCAAGGCAAATAGAATTGCAGGGGATTTTGGTTTAAGCAAGTGCGTACAGCGGTAGCAGTTCTTCAGACTTGCACAAAGACTATTTTAAAAATGTCTCATCACTTCCTTGCTGACTTGACTCTTTAGCTTTGCGCTAAACGTTGTAGCCTCATGCTGTAATAATGTATTGTATGTTGACAGACACTAAAGTGAACTATGGTACATGGTATGCATGGTCTGTACGGACGTGCCATCTTGAATAAGCACGCGCTCGAGCACCATAGACCGGGAGAAAACAATTTTCTCCAGGTCTATGATACAACAGCCAACCTTTCTGCTGGTTATGTACATCGACGCACGAAGGAATAAGAGGTATTCTGATGCTTCATTTTTCCCACCAGTGCGCTTTCCGTAACCGGAACTACTGCAAGATCTGAAGATGGGTGGACATTGTGTAACCGCAGTGGGTCAACTTGAGCCACTTTTTGGTGTGTTACGCCGGGTGTTGCTGGCGTAACTTCCTTATCTGAATGACAGCATAGTTTGGATTACACACTTCTTATCTAAGCTCAGCCTAAATTCAATGAAATTCGGATCAACTCTTTCCAAGTCTGAACGTACCCTGAGCAGAGTCGGCAAGGAACAAAATTCCCATGTCTATCACGTTTGTGTTAAATTTCACACCTTTATAAAAAGCAGCTTTGGAATTCCCTCTGATTTCATAAGAGCTTTTCTGGCCTTTATTTGGTTTAAAGTTGGGTGCATGGTTGCTTTGCATGCAGCAGCTCTCATGAGGTTATTTTGGTTTTCACGAGGTTATTTTGTTATGTACAAAAAGAGGTACTTTACATCGGGAAGATGTTTATATTTTGATAATGGGTTTCCCTTACAATGACATGCATGTACATGTATTTTTATAACACTGTATACTCTATGTTTGTCTGAGAGCTAGCAAAAAATGTTGCTTGTTATAGTTCACCAACAACGAATGAACAAAAGGTCCATCTATGCATACCTCTATGGAAAAGTGCGCACCTTCAAGATGGCTGCCAAGCAAAGCGTCTATTCACCCATGCTCTGTAGGTGCATGCAAAGAGCACACTGAATCCAGCCCAACCAATTTCTGTGGATGTTATGTACTTACTTTCCACCTCATGAAGACATAGTCTGTATTGTTCAGGGCTTCATAGTCAAATGTGTCCTGGTTAAATGTTTTGGCATACTGGTAGAAGGATAAAAACTGACCCTGGAGAAAGAAGCAAAATCAAAACTTTGAGAAATACCTCTAACTGTAAGCGGTCCATTTGTTTTACAGTTCTTGGTAATGATAAATTTTCTTCCAAAAGTGCTTTCCAAGGTAATAATACCCGTAATCATAGTTCTGATAAATAACTGAAAATGAACTAGCTAAGAATGAGTTCAGTTTTCTAACTCAAAATGATGGTGCAATCTCCACACATAATTTCTCTTAGAGAAGCTAAAAATAAATGAGGGCAAGAACTTTCTATCTGATTGTGGGGACTGCAAACAATCACTTGTTCATTTGGTCGGCAGTGACTTGGCTGCAATGCATTCATTTCATAGTTGTTTGCAAACCAGCAAAGAGCAGTTTCCACTGCTAGGAAAATTGCGCCCTCCCTTGGTCCTGCTTGGGGCCCGTAGTTAACCACAGTTTGACTTATCTGTATTGAACACATGCTAGTCTTGTTGACTAATAAAGTAACTGGCATTGTTCCAGAACGGCTGCCCAGCAGGCTTTACATTTGGGAGCCAGGACCATGGGATCTTTCACATTAGTAAAGACATTTGACTGTAATTTAACTGGGAATAGTTGCTCTTAGAATCGGTAAACAGGCACAAGGCATGCAAAAAAACAAAAATCACTGGTCCACAAATGTGGTGCCTCTTTGAAATTGTTAAAGACTGATGTATGGCTACAGTACATCAGTCCTGATTTGAAGAGTGCGATGGCATCCGCATGTTATCACCTATCTGAAACTTCTTGCAAGCAACAACATGCCTTAGGGCCTCCGTAAGGCATGCCTCAATACAAAAATATTCTAGCGCAATCATACTTAATAGTGTACAATCACATCTTAGAAAAAACCCAGGTGACTGATGTTTCATTCAAGCCACCTTACCCAATGCTTTCTGTCCACCTCCTCATCTGCGTCCCACTTCCTCGTGAGGAAGGGGTGTTTCTCACTGATGATCTCCCCTTCAAAGAAGGTGACCAGCTCCGGGTATTCATTGGTCAGACCGCTGATCTTCAGGTAGCCGCACAGGTAGCTGTTCTCTTCATCCACATTCTGGGGAAGAAAAAAAAGTAGATTCTTCAAATATCGTTTAGTAAAAATTAACCATGATGGCCTCTGACTCTCGCGGGGGCAGGTGTAGGCCAAGCGTCTGACCAGTGACCAATTCGCAAATAATGCGTGTATGGAATTGCATATCTGAATAGTGTGATTCCTCCTTGTTTACTGGCATGACTGCCGCCCGGTAAGGGTGTTCATTACCTTTAGCACCCTGTTCCGTTAATTAGTAAACAAAGTCTACTTTCTCAAATGAACATTTGTTGAGGAACCATTGGTCAATCCTGATAGGCCTAATTTAGGTAAATTTTGACAATATTTAATAAGAAAACCACAAATTTATAACCCGAGCCGAGTTTGGCAAAAGACAACTGTTTTGTTGAATCACGCTATTTCGTTTCTCGTCTGGTTACCCGACTCAGGCATTCTTCAAAACGAATTTTCATCCAGGTCAAGGAAACAGACTACATTCGCTAATTTGTCGTCATTCACAGCTTTTTGGGCATACCCCCAGAACTGTATCCGCTCCACAAACGGACGCTGCCATTTACACCAAAAATTCCCTCAAAAACCAAAGGTCCAGGTCTCTTTTCTTTCTGATATGAAGAAAGATATGACATAACCAACATGGCCAACAACTTTAACTTATTTAGATAGGCGTAAGTCTTTTCAAACATGTCAAAAAAAGTAGAAATTGTTCCTTTATTAAATTATAGGAACAGGGCGCTAATAAAACACCCGGGTAAGGGCCTGTGCTGCACTGCCGAATTTTTACCTGTAGTTCAACCTCAACGACGTATGAACTTCCCTTGCTCTTCTGGTAGCCTTCAAATTTGGAACCACTGTACAAAAGGGTCCGTGCAACACCCTGTTGTTTACTACTTTTCGGGGGAGGAGGATAAATAATCCCTGGCATTTTTGAGTCAAAGTTTTTATTATTTTAATAGGAATATGAGACGCGATCCGACGTGACACTTCTGTCAGTACGAGCCCCTCTTCCGTAATTACGAAATGAAGACAACGTGCATGCAGTACGTACAGTAGTCAGTACGTCATGTATGTACAGTACGGTCTCATTTGCCCCAAAACCAATATGGCAGCGCCCATGAGTGACAGCTCCGTGCTCTTAACGATAGATGTTATTGGTCAAATCCATGAACATGCTGCGATATGGACCATTCATTGTCCTCAACATACTGACAAGTGACATGGGCATAATTATGACCTTTCTTAATAACCAGCGCCCTCTACATATAACGTACATGTACATGCGCGAACATGCAAGTACTGCTGATATCTATGGCCGTTTTCCAATACTCAACTCCGTCTCCGCGGCGGCTTTGTGTAGGAAACCAATCCCCGATTGTGGGCCTGAAGCGTTTAACTTAAATTGAAATACTGTAATGTTTGGCTCTTTTGCATCTTACTTGGTCTTTTGTGGCACTATCAGACTTATTATTGCGCTTACAACCTCAAAGTCAGGAAGTACAAAACTGTTGTAGCCTCAAAGGGAGCTCAAGTCGAGTATTGGAAAAAAGCAGGCGCGCACACAGAAAGTAGACTGATTACCGTCCCGTGCGCAGATTCCAGACGTCTTACAGATGTCCTCCGAAAGTAAGACATGGTAGGACGGAGACTGGCAGGATCCTGCTGCGCTGGGTCACGGTGTACGTAAAAGAGGACTCGGAAACGATGCCCACTCAAATCAAGGAGGAGCTGATAGCATAATTTTGCTTATTTTTCTTCGTTACAGAAAATAACTTCACTATAAGTGGTTTATTTATCTAAAATCTAACACAATAACCACCGAGTTGAAATAAATTGACATACCGGGGTGAAATTTATCGATGATAATCATTAAAAATTAAATTACCACCTGTGATCACCAGAGGTTTAGCAAGGATACGTAGTTGCGTTTTAGTAGCCTTCCCGTTGACACATATTCAAGTTCACGTTAAAATAGGCCTATTGCTGCTGGTCTGACCGTGAAACTAGTTTTATATTCAGGATCCAAATCAGGGCTAAGTACTGGTCCTTCAGTGCATGCAACAAGGTCGTATCTCGTGGAAAAAACAAATGCGAGCTATGACCTTTGTTACACTGTCCCGACGGGATTATAATAGGGATGGAAACCACTGAGTCCACATGGAAAGTTCAAGTGACCCCTGATGTTCGCTTTCGGGACCCTTGGATAGGGAAAAGAACGTGCCAAAACTTTATAGACTTTGTAATTCTTTTTTGTTCCGTAGGCCTAACTTCTTAAAACTCAAGTCCTTGAAAGGCCTTTTGTAAAATATTTGCTCGTATAATTATCAATTTATAGAAACTGAAGAATTATTTGACATTAAAGAGAAATATCATGCCAAAGATTGACCTGTCACTTCCGAAACTAAAATAGATAAAGAAAAGAACAATTCGCTCGTCGCCCAGCGCTTTAAGGGCTGATGGCCTTGCCCAGATTTTAGTGAAGGAAATACGTCACACAGAGTCACAGCTAACGACGGGCAGAGCATTGTGGGTACATTTCTGCCAGGCGCGCGAGCTCGCTGAAATAAAACTCTGTATAATGAAGACAGTTATATTTTGACTCTCTTTATTTGCCCTTCTTCCTTCCTTTGGCGTTTAAACTAATAAATTAAGCGGACCTTCTTAATAGATGGCCAGTCATGACATTTGTATAATGATCGGTTTTACGTTCCACCGTCTTGCTCTGTGCATGCCATCACCTTTCCCTATTGTACACCGTGTTCCTCTGTAATTCGGTTCAATCAACAATAACGTGTGGATGGCTAACTGCCATGTAGTGTGCCAAAAAGGTATTGCAACATAATGGGTTTTCTGGTTGACAGTTTCACATTTTTACCAGCCAGAGAGATATTGCATTTCTGGTAATAACGATGATAATAATAACAACAATAATAATTACCAGAAACAGTATCTTAGAGAGAGATATTCCAACAGAATTGCGCACAAAACATTCCAAACTTTGGTGACTCCGACACAACTTTTTTTCTTAAACCCCATTCTGAATGCAAAAGAGTGAAAAATGCCCTCTCAAAAAGTGATTCCTTCATAAAAACCATTTCTTCAGAATAAAAAACACACTGAAGCGAGTAAAAAAAGGCCTTCTAAACACCGTTAAACCACTCCAAAAGAGTGAAAACCCCACTTTTACGTGGAGCCATAAGGGACAGTTTGAAAACAGTACACATCAAAGTATTCCAGGCTACGATCAGTGGTCTATTTTGAGAGTACAGCAATTATCCATTTGTCAGAGTCAGAGCCTCGTCTG